GGGCGCATAAATTTTCTGATAGCCATAACTGTTTTATACTTGTGTGGCATGATGCAGAGTCCTATTACCAGACATAGGGTCTTCCAGCAGCCACCATCTTCACCCAGGGTAGCACTATCTCCTCCAGGCAACTGATGTGTTGCCAACAAATTCGGGAGTTCTTTTCTTATTAGAACGATCAGAAGGAGTTTTCCGAGCTGTTGTCTCTTCGTAATCACCATTAGACTCATCCAACTATTCCCAAATCGTCTGCACTGTCCTCAGATTTACACCCAAACACTCTAAAATGTCCGTATTTGAGCATCCGGCGCGAATACCAAGCAGTACACCATGCTGTTTCCAAATTTCTGGCGGAGTGAATTGTGCCATAGTGCTCAGTTTCTCAGAGAGAGGCCCAACTGACCCTACTACACTGTGCAGTCGACAAAAACAAAAGAAAAGACAACGCGCATGCGCAAAATTAAAAATATAAAATGTCGACAATTTAACCATCACTCTCTGTATATGCTGCGTTTCTTCAAGACATGAGCGATCAAGGTTCTTTACATTTCATCTCGTGTGGCTTTTAGCAGGTTTTTTTCCTTTTGCTACGGCCCTCGCACTCTTTCCACCAACTATTCACACAACCTCTTCCGGTAAGTGACTCGCTGCCTTCCCCATCTTTCTTTCCCTTAATATGCCTCCTTGTCGGTTATGTCGTCCAAGAGCCCCGTCTTCTTTATGGGTTCAAGGAATTTCAGTTGTATACGAAGTGAGTATAACATTTCCAACATTATTCGAGGACATAGATGTCTTCTTCCGTTTCTTCGTGGTTTACACAGGATTAGCGCTAAAAATGGATCATCTTTAAATGTACAAAGGCGAGGCTTGTGTGCCCAAATACCGTCGCCTTCTATGTGCCTTTAATTGCAGTTTCTGTTTAAGTATTTCCTTGATTGGTGGAATTTAGCCATTTAATTTTATAGCTCCTCTTGATCTCCCTGTATTTGCGTATTGAAACATTTGGGTTTCTTGAGATCTCATCTCGTACCGATTAACTCACATCCTCGTGATTTCTTTGATTTCTCGCTCTGATTTTGCCTTCCAAGCTGGCGCGTTTTGTCTGTTATTTGATCTTTTCTTTGTCTTGGCACAAAGCTTCACAGTAGCTGCTAAAGCTGTTGCGTATATGACATTATTTATTATTATTATTATTATTATTATTATTGTAAGTTATATTTCTTGCTTTCTATCGTGTAGAGCCAGGTTTAAACTATGGACCCCAGGCCCTTTAGAAAAAATGTCATTTAATTCATAGCACTTGACTTAGTATATGGGATATTCCTAGTAGGGCGATTTTCTGTGAAACTTGTATCTTGATGTTACCTGGTACACTATTAGTAAAATTGTCCATTCCTTTTCTTTCACGAGTCTCAGAGCTCCGATTACTATTGGTAAAGTTATTATTATTATTATTATTATTATTATTATTATTATTATTATTATTGTTGTTATCCTTCTCCTTCTCCTTCTTCCTCTGCTTCTTCTTCTTCTTCTTCTTCTTCTTATTATTATTATTATTATTATTATTCTCCTTCTCCTCCTCCTACTTCTTCTTCTTATGATTATTATTATTATCATCCTTCCCCTTCTTCTCTTCCTTCCTCTGCTTCTTCTTTGTCTTCTTTTTCTTCTTCTTCGTCTTCTTTTCTTCTTCTTCTTCTTCTTCTTCTTCTTCTTATTATTATTATTATTATTATTATTATTATTATTATTATTCCCCTGCTTCTCTTTCTCTTCCTTCTATTTCTTCTTCTTCTTCTTCTTCTTCTTCTTATTATTATTATTATTATTATTATTATTATTATTCCCCTGCTCCTTTCTCTTCCTCCTCCTTCTTCTTCTTCTTATTATTATTATTATGATTATTATTATTATCATCCTTCCCCTTCTTCTTCTTCTTCTTCTTCTTCTTATTATTATTATTATTATTATTATTATTGCTTCTTCTTCTTGATTATTATTATTATCATCCTTCCTTTTCCTTCTTCTTCTTCGTCTTCTTTTCTTCTTTTTCTTCTTCTTCTTCTTCTTCTTCTTCTTATTATTATTATTATTATTATTATTATTATTATCCCTGCTTCTCTTTCTCTTTTCTATTTCTTCTTCTTCTTCTTTTCTTCTTCTTCTTCTTCTTCTTCTTCTTATTATTATTATTATTATTATTATTATTATTATTATTGCTTCTCTTTTCCTTCTATTTCTTCTTCTTCTTCTTCTTCTTCTTCTTCTTCTTATTATTATTATTATTATTATTATTATTATTTCTATTTCTTCTTCTTCTTCTTCTTCTTCTTCTTCTTCTTATTATTATTATTATTATTATTATTATTATTATTTTATTTCTTCTTCTCCTTCTCTTCTTCTTCTTCTTTTATTATTATTATTATTATTATTATTATTATTATTATTCCTCTCCTTCTCTTATTCTTATTCTTCAAGCTTTGAAAAGATTAGTATTGAATTGATCATATAATTGAAAATAATTTTCAAGCTCACTTTCAGATTACTTTGCTAGTCCAGTGTATTCAATGATGCTCCAACCATATGGCCTTTTGCCACACTCAGTTTTCTTTTATAACTATAAATAATCTTTCAGACTTATTAATATTTTGAAAAGTCACATTAACATTTCCAACATTATATTTGATGTTTACTAACATGTTCAGGAAAGGAAACAGTCAACACGCCTAAACATATTAGCAACATCAGATACAGTTAAGAGGTTTCTGTTTCTTCATCGTTTACGCAGGATTAGCTTAAAAAAACGGATCAGCTTCAAAGAAGAGATTTCTGTCCCCAATCGGACTTGGATGTGACCATCTTTTCTTATGTATAATACGCCCCCTGTTTCTGAAGCTAAACCCAGGGAATAAATTACGTCCTTGTAATACAACCATCCCTACGTATTTTTTATTTTAAGTTGTACCATGCTATCTATTAAAATATCGATGCCATATATTTCACTAAAATATTTCATTTTTCACTATATTAAATAATTCAAATGAACCGGATGTTTAGATATTGCGTTTCTTTTTCTAATTTCCATTTCAAAACTTTCGAATCTTCGATTAAATATTTTAAGGTGTCAATAATTCTATCATACTTTTTGTTTGATATGACTTTAGTATATTTCTATATATTAATAAACGATGGAAATAAAAAAAATATTGTCTTTATTAAGAATGAGAGCGAAAACTTATAAACAAACTTTATGTTGTGAGCAAAACCTTCCTAATATTAAGCATTACGTTAATTCCAAAAGAACAAATAATGCCAATATATCGAATACATTTGTAAGCAATAGTTATCAACATCTAAATTGTGTTTTATTATCTATCGTGCTAACTGGGTGTATTTGAAATCGTTTGAAATATGAGGGTTTTTTTAAGCTGAATAAAAACTCGTGAAAACGTGTATTTGTGTATAATAAGACCACCCTTTGTGCTTTTAAATTCATTAAAAACTTCTCGTACTATACACAAGGAAGTAACGGGGAGTAATGGATTTACGGTTGGGATTATGAAACCGTAGAGCCGAGTTCGAATTCCAGACTTGTGCCACATTCATACCTCGTGGGGGGGATGTTAAATATAACAGTCGAACAGATCTGTTCGAACTGTACTGTCGAAACCTCTGCCTTGAGCAGGGAGGAACCCGGACGAGGCTTTGTCGAAGGGCAAAGTTTCGTCCGGGGTGGTAGACAGGACCTGAATCCATTTATACGGGTTCTAAGGGAATATTTTTGGCCGAGCCTACGCGCTCGGAGAATCCACGGTAAACTTGGCCTTGTGCCACATACATCCCTCGTGGTGTTTGTCGGGGTGGACTGTTAAATATAACAGTCGAGAAGATCTGTTCGGACTGTAGAACTTTCTTTCTTTGGCAGAGAGGAATCCGCGTGAGGCTGTGCCGAAGGGCAATGTTTCGTCCGGGGTGGTAGACAGACCCTGAATCCATTTATACGGGTTCTACGGGAATATTTTTGACCAAGCCTACGGGTTCGGAGAACCCACGGTAAACTCGGCCTTGTGCCACATACATCCCTCGTGGGGAGGGGGCTGTTAAATATTAACAGTCGAATAGATCTGTTCCAGCTGTGCTGGTCAAACTCTCTGCCTCCGGGAAGAGATGATCCTCAGACAAGTCTATATCGAAGGGCAGAGTCTCGTCTCGGGATATAGCTACCCAACCCAGATGGGGAATTTTGGGCCGAGTCTATGGACTCGGATTGCTCCACATTAAACTCGGCCTTGTGCCACATCCTACCTCGTGGGAAGGCTGGTAAATATAACAGTCGTATAGATTAAACGCTGAGTGAACCGACCCACACTCATTAGTCGTGTAATTCTCTTCTGTTGTATTTACTGTTTAATATATGATATAACTGCAACATTTGTTTTGTTATTTCTTTAACCATTTACTTGGTCACAAAATTTGGACATAAATGATAAAGTGTTTTGAAGAGTTTTGAAGCGATAGAAATAGCGATCGGACGACTATGGCTAAGAATATCATGAATTGGTTCGCAGAATATGTGAGTAATGAAGAAGTTTTATTCAAAATACAAAGAGATATGTATTTACAATCAAAAGGAGACAGTTACAAGCTCTGAGACACATAATGAGAAAAGAGGACTTCGAGAATTTCATACTAACAGGTAAAAGAAACATAGGCAAAAAAAACAAGTTAATTACTCAACGATTTTAGATTGATTATTTTTTACGGCTTATCAACCCTTTTCGGTTTATTTAATATTTCTGATTATATCATTTTTGTGGGGAGGTAATAATAATAGTTTAATGATACAAGTCTTACTAATTAGCCCCTAACTGGGCGGGGGAAATAGGTCGATTCATACCTTACCCAAACTGAATATAATGAACCCAACGAGGATTGAAACTCGGCCCTCCAAGTAAAAATCCCGAGCAGTTATACATTACACCATCCCCGCATCCAAGCTTACAGTAACTGGTATTCCCAAGCGGTCACCCATATAGGTACTGACCAAGCTCGACGTTGCTTAATTTCAGTGATCGTACGGGAACCGGTGTTTCACTGTGATATAGCCGTAAGACCTTTATATTTACCTGCACCTCCAAGCTTACAGCATCTAGTATTCGCAAGCGTCCACCCTTCTAGATACTGACCAAGCACGATGTTGCTTAACTTCGGTGATCGTATGGGAATCGGTGTTTCAGAATGATATGGCTCTTTATACCACGCATGCATCCAAGCTTACAGTATCTGGTATTCGAAAGGGGTCACCCATCTAGGTACTGACCAGGCTCGGCGTTGCTTAACTTCGGGGATCGTACTGGAACCGGTATTTCAATAGTTTTCTGTGTTATGAATAGAACAAGAGGAGGAAAAAAGGGTAGTAATGTTACTTAGAGCAACTAAAAACATGAAGATGTGGAGAACTGTGTCCGTCGATATTCTGAAAGAATTTGGCACATGAAAGAAGATGGCGGTGATTAGAATTGTGGACTGAATGTCATCAAAAGAGCACGTTTCACGTCCTCAGTCTCTTTCTCCTCAAATGGAGTAATTAGCGTCATCGGCACGGAGTCTTGTTAATTGGAATGACACCTTATTGCATTCAATATAATTAGTGTCGATCAGAATGTTTTAATAGAAATATAATTGTGCCATTTTTTTTTCAAGGAGAAATTAAGTCCGTTCTTCAGGATCCGAAACAGAAAAGAAGAACCATATTTAGCATAGTTGCGAGAGAAAAAAATCTTGTTTCCCGTGTGTAGACTTGCAGCTTACAACCAAACACATCCTTCTATGTAGCTGCTTCAATAAGTCATAGCCTAATAATAATAAAAATGGCTGGAATAATAGAAATTCTACGGTCGATACTTCAATAATTGTCTTTAGATTCAAAGGGGAATCAAACTGTCTGCCTCCTTTGCTAAATAAACCTATGTTTACCTCTTGATTCTCGTGTAAACCAAAACTTGCGTCTTATTTTTTCGAACCCATGCCTACCCTCTAAACTGAGGTTCCCTTGTCGATAAACTTACATATCTCTATCCTTTTGACACATGCGCAAACCAAACCAAACCAAGGTTTCCCTTACTTACTCAAGTGCAAATCATACCTATACCTATTTCAATCAGCTGCACACCGAACCTAGTTTTCTCCTATCGATTCAGGTGCAAACGATACCGATGTCTATCCGTTTGAATCTTATATAAACCAAACCAAGGTTTACGCTATTGATTCACGTGCCTATATCTATCTTTTTGACTCATGTGCAAATCAAACCATGGCTTAACTTTTTGATTCTTGTGTAAAACAAATCTGTGGGCGGACATGTAGCTTACTGGACATTTACGTCCCTGGATATCTGCGTATCTCTGATAATTACCATTTTTTTTAAATGTAATATAGAAATTTGAACACCAATATCTTTAATTATTCTAAACAAACAGAAAGGTAGTTACCATAAATAAAAAAATAAAAAAAACGGAGAAAACTTTCTTTTTTAAAGCAAGAGAAAATTAAGCTAGCAGTTTCAGTTCCCTCCAGCAGTGCGTACTACAAACATCTAAAAGATTCTGGATTTTATAGATTATATTTTTTGGACACATGGATAGGTTCCGAAGATCAAACATTGTTGGAAAAATATTTGTGAACGAGGAAAATTACAGATACCATTATCGTAAAAAAAACGATGAAACGAAAACATACTGGTGATGTGTAGAGCGTTCTTGCAATACTGTTAATCTGTCGTTGTATTTTAAACAAAAATAAACTTTTATTTTGATTTTATTTTATTCCTTTTTAAAAAAGTTATGAATACTACCAATGCTTTTTTTCAAAATTTATGGTAATTGCATTTAAAAGCTTCAAAGAATTATCAGAGGTACGCAATTATCCAGGGACGAATTTGTCTAGGAATGCAAATGTCCAGCGTCGTAATTGTCTGGTACACAATTGTCCGGGGCGCAAATGTCTAGTACGCAACACTCCTAGAACCAAACAAAACTACGTCTAACGTATTCGACTCTCATTTATACGAAATATACATTTTTTTTCTCCCGTGGAAACAAAACCGATGACTATAGGACTCTTATGCAAACCAAACTTATCTCTAATTTTTCTATCTTTTGTTCAAAATGAGGTAATTCTACTTTGGTCAACCTGGTCAGGCTTTATATTACGAGAACTAAACTTTTCTATCTCTTTGCTTGTCTGCTATTCGAAGCTAAAGTCCTCGTTCTGCCCTGCTACTTATAACACATCTGGTAAGAGGAGTAATATTTTTAAGCCATGTCCCCGCAGAACGCAAGAGACTATTGCTCTCAATAGGTCGCTTTTCGGTATTGTCGGGGTTATTTGCCATGACTTCCTACGAAAGGTAATGGATGTTTTTTCGTTATCGTCTCAGCTCTTCTCTTTGGCTGCCATGCAGGACTAGAGAACTCATTCCGCCCGGTTATTTAACCCACAACCTGTTTAAAGCCATATCCCTTTATGATATACGCGATGATAGCTCTCAAAGGGTTCATTTTCCTTATTATCTGTCATGACTTATATCAAAGAGATGGAATGGTTGTTTGTTACCGTTTCCGTGCGTTAGAATTAAGAGTTATAGCTTATTGCTGTGTTTTGGGTATATATGTTTACTAGTGAGTTAGCTCAAATGACTTGACTCACTTTATAGTCCACCAATAGAAGGTTAACCAATCAGAAGACGTAGAATATTCAATCCGTCGTGTATAAAGGCGGCCATTTTGTTTACTCTACCCGAATGTCCAGTCCAGTTTGTCAGGCGAAGAGAACCAGAAGGACGAACTACTCTCTGCTACTTTTACCAAAACATCCACTGCTAACCTGAACAACGCTTTCCTACTGTCTTTGAAATATTCACTGCTAACCTCTGGATTCTATACTCGAAGACGACCGTCATCATGAATAACAATGTTGAGGTCCCTTTTCATATTCGTGTCGTCTTTATTTAAATCTTAGTGTGTGAAACATATTTTATTTTATTTACACTATTTAAATTGTTCGGACAGGTGTCCTCATCTTTGTTATCATATTCATGATGTTTCGGTCGTTATACACACCGGCCTTCTTCAGGTGATATATGTTGGAATTTCGAACGGAGCATTTTATTTCGTCCACTGTGAATACATAGCCCAGTCCATAAAAGCGTTGGTTGATGTAATCCAGTAACTCGACCAAAACAGTTGTGAGTTCAGTACCTGACCACAGCAGAGTTAAACAAAAACTTATGGAGTTGAGTTACTAAAAAGGGAGATAACTGTAAAGGATATATCCAGAACAGGCATGGCACGTGGAAATAGAACAATCTACCCGGTTGGAAGTTCGATGTGCAGATTAGGAATATTTTTCGAGTTATTTAAATCTTGCGACTATCTTCCGAAAATATTTCCGGATGATGCTTTTTCGTTGCTCCCATATTCTCCCCAGGGCATCCTCAGCATCCTTCTGTAGAACCAAAACGTGTAGAAATAGGCTGTAATACTAGCGACACTTTTTTTGTAAAAGAAAAAGTTTTACCAGCAATACGGTGTGATGTTTGTTGCAGTTTTTTGTATATATTATGTAACTAGTGAGCTAGCCCAAACGACTTGACTCACTTTATAGTCCACCAATAGAAGGTTAACCAATCATAAGACGTAGAATATTCAATCCGTCGTGTATAAAGGCGGCCATTTTGTTTACTCTATCCGAATGTCCAGTGCCAACTTGTCAGGCGAAGAGAAACAGAAGGACGAACTATGCTCTGCTACCTTTTACCAAAATATCCACTGCTAACCTGAACAACGCTTTTCAACTGTCTTCGAAATATTCACTGCTAACCTCTGGATTCTCTACTCAAGACGACCGTCATTATGAATAACATAGCTGAAATTGTTTTAAGGTCTATTGTGCAGAAATAATTGAGGATCCATATATAGCTATTTTATGATGTTGTTTGTTAACTTTTTACTCATTATTGGAAAATCGCTTATTCCGCTTGTTGTAGACTGCTCATGAGCATACGATATTATGCTCATGTTAATCTTATCAGTCTACCCTTACATGCTGGCTTAAGGCATGTTGGAAGAGAGCGCTTGAAGATTTTTCCACGGTAGGTTGCCGATTAGGTAGACTGGTTGCCAACCAAGGCTATAGAACCCAGCCTGTCCTGCTATTCAATCTATGGCGGATTCATGCTTTTTCCAAGAGTAATTGCACATAAGTGAATGTAACGACTTGACTGGAATTCGAACTTGGCACACTGATTTCTAATTCTGAGCCACTATCCATTACACTACAATGCGCATCAGATTAGGGTTAGCAAGTTTGTTTCTTGCCCCACAAGTTGGGGATCAAGTCCAGATAAAACCCTTTATTTGCTGGCTGAATTTTGCAATATCTCTGTTTAAGAAATTACTGCTAATCCTGAATACATATGAGTATGATATAAGAATGGCAATTGGAAAAAATCTTATCGAGAAAAAAATTCAAAGAAGAGAAACTTTTAACTGATGTTTTATTTCTAAAGATTATATGGAATTCATTTTTATCCATTGTTATGATAACATTTCGGCAGTTGTGATCTTCGGCATTCTTCAGGTGTTTGTGGATCATCGAAAATTTAGAACTGATCACTTTAAAGTGGCAGATTTTACCATTTGCTGTTTTCCATAGTTATATATATATATATATATATATATATATATGTGTGTGTGTGTGTGTGTGTGTGTGTGTGTGTGTGTGTGAAAATATATAGAAAATAGGAAGGAACTGGTTAGGTAAATAATCCAAAGTCCTTAGTATTTTAGTTATTATTTTTTAAAATAGTGCTCGATACAAAAGTAAGCATAATATAATTATTTATTTAAAATATGATTCCATATGGAATCATATTTTTTAAATAAAAATATATATATATATAGTTAGGTTCCACCTGTACAAGACCCGGGAGCCACCCAATGTAGAGGATTAAGTTAAGGCGTAGTTTATATGGCCGAGAAGTTAGAACGTTCGCATTCTGACCTTGAGATCCGGGTTCAAATCTCACCATGGTTGATTTGTCAGGAGGGAAACTTCTTGATGTTATCGGACTGGAGGGGTTGATCCCAGCGTGTGCATACCATGCGTTGACCCAAGCCTTGTGACTGAAATTGGGTAGACGGTGCTAGTACGAAGTCACAAGTCATCGTGCCCGAGAGCTTGAGCATGCTGGCCAATTTCAAATTGTTGATCACGCTAGATATCACGCTCTTTCCCGGAATCTGTAACTAAGGTTGGTTCAGCATAGTTGCAGTATAAACCGCAGATGGGCTCTGTGGGTGTTGAATAAACA